TCCCCCCCCCCCCCCCCCCATTTCCAAGGAGAGCGCTGACCTAAAGGGTACAGGTCAGAAGCAGGCAGTGACCAGAGATGGGAGGAAAGCCTAAAATGAGGAAATGGGAGCAAGGAGCAGGAATTAGCAGTGTTCATAGAGGAGGCGAGTGAGAAGTAACAGCCTTCTTTGGGGGCTGGCTGAGCTCTTGTATGAGGACTAAGCGTATTCAATCCAATTTGCACAAGTAGTAAGTTAAAAATATGCTTTCTCACACTGTATGTGCTACTGCAAAAGATTCTTCAAGACAGAGTTAAAAAAATACAGCTATTGTATAGTATTGTATAGCTAAGAGTGATCAGAGAGGAGCTAGAGGTTTGGAAGAGACCTAACCACCTACACTCTCCTAGGGCAACCCCTCTAAGTCCAGAGGAACAGCCTTTCCCTTGGAAGCAGTCTGTTTCAACATTTAAATGCAGGATCACCCTCCACCTCTGACCTTCCTCCACAAAGTGCTTGAGATCCTTCAAAGCAGAGGATATAGGCAAACATGGACCATCCGGATTTAAGGACGTTCCGCAAACGACTCTGCCTCAAAGAGCCAAGGACATCTCCCAGAGCAGCCCTCCAGCTCTTGTCTCAACCCTTCTCACCTGGCAGGAGGCAATTCCTCAGCATTCCCGCGCCCGCAAGTACATCTGCAACCCAAACAAGTTTCTGTGCTGCCCCACGTGCAGCTGTGTTACCTAGACACTCCAATCACATCTCCAAACCAGCACAGGTTGGCACAGCAGTGAAACCACAGTGTTCAGGCTGCCACTGAGCAAGCACCCAGGGTGCTCCAAGCAGGCACGTGAAACGAGGATCTGAGCTTGTTTGACTTAGCATGCAATCCTAAGAGGATGCCCTAGCAGAGGAAATGCAAGCCGTTATGCACAAGCCAATTTGCGCACAGTCAGAATGCCAGTCCCAGTTTGCTATCTGCAGCTGGGAGAGCTGGAACCTGCTCTCACCACCCAGCCTGAGGAGGTGAAGGGCACCCAACAGGCAAACGAGCAGACACTTGCCATGGGAAAACAGAGTAAGGGTGGCAAAAGGGGAAAGTCAAGCTGCGCATTGGAGCAATGAATTGCAAAAAGTATTTGAAACCTGCTATTAAATAGCAAGCCACAGCTTGCTCTTAGCATTATTGCAGTCTCCCATCAAGCAAGAAGATGCAGTCACAAGTGGTTGTGTTTACAGGTAAATGAAGAATATGCCTGCCGGGGGAACTGCAAAGGAAGGCAGACACTACACGATCTTGAAGAGGGTTGGTCATATATACCACTCTTTTCTGTTCTCTTTATAATCAGGTTCCCCCTCTCAGGATCTTGACATTCCAGGAGGTGCAAGAGACATAGAAAGACAATGCAATTTCTCCTCAACCCCAAGTTGTAGGGCAGAGAGAGGACCAAGCACCCTGAATCTCAACCAGGGCTCTTGGGAGGCTACTAGCAACATCTCAATGATACACGTTAACAGGTGGCAGCCACCTAGGAAAACTGCCTGCACAACAGTAAATATTTAGTATTCATATTTCCCCACAGCATAGGGCAAGGAAGAGGAGCAATGTGCAGCTCACAAGCTGAAAAAACATTCCAACTCCATTCTCCCGTCTTCCGGGCCATTTCTCCAACCCTTGGGCAGCAAAGCCCAAAAGAGGCCATGAACGTGAACGGTGGGATGCCAGGCTCTGTGGCTTGCAACATGGACAAGCAGATCAACGTCCTAAAACTGACTGCACAAACAGAGAAGCCCCTGCTAATTTTCACCCACCCAGTGGAAAGAATCTTCCATTTGACAAGCTGAGATTAGCTACCAAGATGCCCCAAGCAGCAAAGAAAAGGGCAAATTAAGTTGAGCAGAAGACAAAAAACATGGTTCATGAAGACCTGACGTAGTCACGCTTTGAACTACTTCATCGAGGACACAGATCTACACTCGTCCACCCCAGGGCAGCTTCAGGTTTGAACTTTCATCCTGTGGCCTTGGCACCAAGACAGCCTCTCCATGGCCTCACGCACCTGTAGAAACCACTCTCCAGCATTGAGCTTTTCCAGGTCAGTCCAGTTGAACATGGAGGAGTGCTCGTAGGCCAGCTCTGGAAACACTTCCTCCACATTCGTTGTTCTCCTGAGTGTTTTGTCGTGCATCAGAAATGGCACTCCATCGTAGCTGCAAAGAGAGTCAGAATCCCCATTACCTGGTGGAAATGAGCAAACAGATACAGAGTACTAAAGAAACACTCACTCCCACTTCTCCCATGGCTTTGTGGGACCACATCAAAATCATTGTCAAGGTCTTAACCAACTTAGCACATCCAGTTGAAATCCAAGAGGCTTCTTCCTTTGGGTGCATCTCATTTCAAATGGTCTCAAGAACACGAGATACCCAAAGGAGAAACCTCTTGGATACCTCCTAGTTGTTCGCTTTCATTCAAATGCTGACGTAAATGAGAACACCCATGATAAACAAAGGTTGCTGCAGTGTTCACAGCTCCCAGTAACATCACAGGTTTTCCGTACCTCATATGCATACACACACAGAAATTATTCCCATGCTGTAAATAGTAGATAACGGGTAAGATTTTCAAAGGCTTTCAGACTATATGGGACCCTAAAGTTCATGGGCTTTCAACAAGATGTAAGGACTCCAAGCTTTCAAAATTGCTTTGGAATTGCCTTTCCCAATTGAAATTTGTTTTCAGGAGATAGTCATGCTCATACAAGTAGCTACGTTCATGCAACTTAAAGAACATTTACTTCCCAGGCAAAACTAAATAACCAAGTGCATGCCCTATGGTTTTTAAGGCACCTGGATATTACAGAAGAGTGGTTTCAGGAGACCTAAAAACTTTTTCAAAACTTTCTTCCAGACCTATTTTCTCTGGCTGGGTCAGTGGCAACACTACAGATGACAACGATAGTTTCTATCAAGAGCTAGGGGACATGGAGTTGTCCACACTCAAAAATCACGACAAACCCAGCACAGTCAGCCTGGACAACAGCAGAAGATTATAATGGCGTTTTCCAAAGCAAGAGGACAGGACGCGAGCTGGCTGGCTGGAGGGAAAAAAAAAAAAAAAAGTGCTTCAAGCCCACCCCTCCAAGTGCACTTCACACAGAGGGTCTGAGGAGCTCAACCCCTGTAAGGATCCCGTCTTTGCACTAGGAGACTCAAATAAGGCCTGAAAAGGAAATAGGGTTCAAACTCATATGAATCCAATTAGGAGACAAGCCAGAGCATTCACCCCAGTGCTAGAGAGTGACCAAAAAGACCAATTTTAGAAGGTAGAGCAAACGCTGTCCCAGCTTTGCCACTGCCTGTGCAAGGCCGTTAACACAAAGGTCACTTGCATCTTATTTTCTATTTCTAGCATGCATTATAGCAACTAACTTCCCTCCTCCTCCTCACTCAAAGCGATGCTGACACAGCAACACCATGCTCAGCAGCAAGCACACCAAGCTGCTGCAATCAGAAGGCTTTCTAATAAATGCTGTTAAAAAAATGCTCAGCAACTGCAGAATTAAGTGTGGAGTGTTTAAGGAAGATAGGAGCTCAAGTCTTAACATCTCTTCGCAGAGCATCATCAGATACTGCTAAGCCTTAACCACAGTGCAGAAATCCTATGGGGCATTTAACATTCGCTCTCTCCTGCCTAATCCTTCCCCTTAGAAAAGTCAATCAAAAAACACAGTCCAGGGCTAACCACAATGGATTAGCAGGCACTGGTTTGAAAGAAGTAATTTGGAGAGAAATCACAGCTTTAGAAGAAAAGGACACGTGAGAAGAGGCAAAAGATGGGATGGGAGCATGAAGAGATACTATGCTCCTGCTGCTTGAAGCAAAGACTTTTCAAGTGCACCAGTGCTGCTTTATAACCACAGCCACCCAGTTCAGGGTGCAGACTGGGTGCAACATTTGCCCCAGCGAGAAGGAACCAACCCATGGCCGATACTCACATGGAGAAAGAACAAGTAGGAAGCGTGGAGACATCCAAGGAGGAGAATTGAGGGAGTGAGCCTGTCATGTCAGGCACAAAGAGCATCTTTCAATGGGATTAGGGCAACAGTCGGGGCTCTGCTGCAAACCTTTGCCAAAACTGCTGTCAGCTGTATTGATATGTCTGTTTTCAGTCTGAACTGAAGGCCACTGGAGTCCTGTTTCTATAAAAAGACATAGGTCTCCTAAAGTTGGCCTCAGATAATTAGGCCATCAAGGGTGTCATTTCAGCTATGGGATGCCCCTTCAGGACGGCTGATGGGTGGCAACTTGGGAATCTCTTAGAGCTGTTCCATCTCTGTTCCCCAAAAAGGCTGCCTTTCCCTTTGTCTAAGGCTAAGGAAAGCAATCAGTTCAGCCCACGCTGTGACGTGAGGTGTCATCTGGTAGATGGGCAGTCAAGCTTTGTCTTTTTAAAACAGTTACGGAACTGATTTTTGAAGAAAGAAGAACTGCATCACAAACATCCCGATTCATTCTTCATCCTTCCACAATGACCTTCCATTCCCCAGGGGGAAGAAATTCCATCAGTTTTTTACATCATTTGCTCTCAAACAATTATGGAAATTTAAAAAAAAAAAAAAGCACCCTGATGATTAAACTGCTAAAGCCCATCTCTTCCACCAGGCAAAAATATCTTTTCATCAATGCCAACCTCCAAAGAGATCATAAATAAATAAAAGCTATGAGGCTTTCTTCTATTAACATCCAGAACTAAGAAATTGCCCCACACTCAAACCCTGATCCCTGCTGAATTTGGCAGTCATGAGGCTCCTAGATAATCAGGAAAGGGTTACTGGCCACTCAGTACAGGGAGCCAAGAACTATGAGAGACCCACCAAAGCTGACAGAAGGATGTAGCTTCTAGCCTGGTAAGAAACATAACAGTCTTCTTCCTTCTCCAGGAGGTAAGTCTTACAAGATGTACTAAAGCAACACCTTGCCCTGCTCCTGTGATATGCCCTTATTCCTGCTTTCGGTCATGTACTTGGTCCTTGTCTGTTCCTAGGCAAGGAAGCTTGTTCACACAAGCCAAGAGGCCCCTGACCCACTGGCAACAACTTAAAGCAAGTAGCAGCCCTAATGTCCATGATCTTAAGGGGAACAAGCTACCCTCAAGCTACAGAGGGAGAGATAACCAAGATAGGGCTCTGCCATTCCCTTCATGCCACTTCTGTCTTCTTGCACATCTGTATAACTCATGCAAAAATACAGCTCAGAAAAGGAGCAAGAATATTTATTAAGATTACACTCCCGGAGCAAAGGATGGTTCTTGAAATAACTCTTGCAGGATCCTCTCTGAATCAGCCTTCTCAATTCAGCTCAACATTTGCCTGCAAGGAATGACTTTTCGACAGGTAAAAGTATCAGCAGATTCCTTCTTCCCTCAGCATTAGTGTCATGTGAGGGAGAGGAGCAGGAGAAAGGTTTTACTCCCAGGCTGCTAAATTCTTGTGATGATTTTGCAATACTGGTAAAACCTGACTGGTGACCTGCACAACAAGGAAGTCATTTTGAGATCTCTTCTCTCTGCACACGGGGCTTCCCAGCAGCAGTCACTTTTAAGTGGTTCAGTCTCTTCCCTGGGAGCAAGGCTGCCAGCAGATTTCAAGCCAGGCTACAAACCAGGTACTTTGTTTCATGCAATAAAATAAGTCCAAGGAAAGAGGACAGGCTGTCTGTAAACGAAGATTAGTTTCACGACAAATGAATCCAGGTTTTCTCCACCTGCACAACCTCATCTTTAGTCATCATCTCAACTGAACAATGTCTAACTTCTGTGTGCTACAAACAGAGGCAGCTGAGGAGTTACCAGGCACATTCTCCATGAGAGCCCTTTTCAATGGGAAAGGGTGGCAGTGACCACCAGACAGATACCAGAGAGAAGAGAACCAGGAACATGGTTTAGGCCATCCATAAAGAAAGTCTCTTTGCTCAAGCAAACCAGTGTACTGACTTACCTCAGTACTACATCAGCTTGGACTCCGTATGTCTTCTGCTCCACTGCCTTCTGGAAGGACATCAGAGTGTTTTCTGGTGCCAGCTACGTGAAAAAAAGAGCAGTAAGAGATCAGCAGTAAGTGGAAATGTTTATAAAGCAATTCCAGCTTGGATGATGCTGGGAGGAAGGATTAGAGAGATTAGAGAGCCAAAACAATCTTATTTTGAAGAGTATGTGCTGGCAAGTTACACTGGGGTACCAAGAATGCTCCAGAGGGAACTGCATCTCTTTGAAACCTGAAGATGACCAATGGATCTGACCCCACTGAGAGTATTTCACAGCAAAATAAAGTTCAAAGAGTTGTGATGGTCTGTGATGCCAGACACCCAGCTAGTCCCAGCCTGTTGCAATAGTACTATATTAGAGAGAGGCCCGCCATCATGGTTCTCAGAGGCTTGCTGAGGACCCAAAAAAGTGTCTGTTAATATAATACCAGCTCTCTATTCACAGGTTTTATCTGGAGCTGCCTAAAACAGCTTCATAGCTCTTCATTCTCCTACTTCTCTATGCAAACAGTGGTTATAAGGTCATCACAGAGAGACAAAACAGTCCATGAACCAGGATATCATCCATAACATGGAAAAGAGCAACTAGATCGCAGGTTCTGTACCACACATCTTATTTCCACATCTACTAATTCAATTCACTGATCTACCAGTAAGTAGCAATTGATCAATTGCTTTCTCTTAATTACAAATGCTCCAGTTAGTCTTAACAGTGGTAAATAACAATAAAAATTTTTAAAAAGCCTTAAGCCTGGAAATTTTATGAGTCCTTATCTGTAATAGCCATAGAGATCAGTTTTAATTTAAATGCCTTCCTGTTGAATGAAGAAGAAAGTAAAAGAGTTAGGGCTTGTTTAAAAACAACTACAACAAAAAGAAACACTTTCTTTTTCTGCAAAACCAGTATAGCCAACCCAACAAAATCCATAAATCAAAAAGACAGACCAGAAAGAAAACAGACAACCATTTGGATAAAACCTGAGAGGCTGCTATTAAACAAGTCCACTTCATAATAAAGCAATTTTAAAAAAACATTTTCTTTTTTCGAATTTTACTTTCAGGTTTAGAGCACCCGTAACATCACTTTTTCACAGTTATCTCTGCCACCGTAAGGATCAGTGAGTAGCCATCAAAATACACTGAATACTACCAAGTTAAGAATCCTGGAAAATCATAGGGGCTTGGAAAGAGGAATAATTTTAAGGATAAATGCCCAAACGCACACTGTAAGTAACACGCACAATACATACAAAAACCAGGTCAGGAGTTTACAGTATCTTTAAGAAACATTCGTTTTCTTATTAGCTGGCCTACTTAGGTGCTCGGGTCAGCAAAGCTTTAGCGTAAAACCAATCAGACCAAATACTCTGCTCTGAGCTGTCTACAACACAACCTTCACATAGCTCTGCTATCTCTCTACTGCATTCCTCTGGCCCAAGCCATGCATCAATATTTGTCCATTTTTCTGTTTGTTTAACAAAAGCAACACAGCGGCATGTTATCTTGCCAGCAAAAGCTCCCAAAGACTGACTTTTCCAAGAGGACAGGAGAGGAAACACCCCCATTACACCCTCTTGCACATTACAAGAATGGGTCATATAAGGTCAGGCTAAAACGCCTTTTCCCGGTACACACACAATGCCCAGAGCTGTCAGCAGGGAGCAGCAACTGCATAAAGATCCCACTCAGGCAGCTCTGCTTCATCTTCTTGGGCTACTTGCAGCATCTCAGGTTTCCCCCCCTAAGTAGCTCAGGTTTCTCAGGATGAACACTGCAAGGTGATCCTGTCTGTATAGCGCAGTGCTCAGTATTTACTTTCAGAGGCTTCAGCAATTGCACAGAAATAGAGTGGGTAGCACTCAAACCAGAGACAGCTGAGATAGAGAGACCAAAGGGCAACGTACAACTGCCAGCCTGAGCTGGAAATGGTTGGTGGGTGGACGCAACATAAGCCCCAGGTCGAGATGCTACATCACATCAAGCAGCAGCTGAACCTGGAACCCTACAAGCAGCCTCACCAGGGACGCAATCATATCACAAATAGAAGAACAGCAAAGTATGTTAAGCAGTAAGTCATCCCGAGCAAGAAAGACTGGAAAGAGCAGCTTGGACTAGCTCCACCGAGCAATCAATGTTAAACCCTTCAACAAGGGTAGGACAAGGGTGAGCAACACTGCTGTCACCCACATCTGCGACTAAAAGTTCATACTGCATGAAGCAGGGCAAACGAAGGCAAATGTTGCTCCCCCTCAGTAGAGGCGGGCCAGGTGAACACGATCTTGTCCACAGCCAGCCTGGGCATCAAACTGGATTAGGCAGAGTCCTAACCCAGTGAGGAAACACAGGCTCTGCGCAACTGAGAAAGGCTATATGCTCATTGATTAAAATACTTCTTGCCTCCTCCTCTCTCAGTGTATTTTGGTTTCCGTGGAGATAGGATCAATCTTTGGTTGGACATCACCTCTCTTGAGATGTGGTCAATTTGATGACCCCAGAGGAAGCCTTAACCTAAAAAGCAGGGGAGTTGCAGCTGCCGCTGCTGGAGGCACTCAAAGGAAACGGAGCCAAACAGATGTGAGAGGCAACAAGTCAATAGGCAAGAGCCTGAGGAAAAGCAAGTTTAGACGGAGCCAAGACTGCATGCAAAAGTGATAGATGAAAGCCTCATAGGAAAATAGTCTCTTTGGGACAGGCTTTTGGTTCAAACTGGGAAAAATTGACAATCTGAAGATCGTGGTGACACTTGTGCATCTTAGAGGCATTGCTACGATATGGACTCTGGTGAGCTAAAAACTGAGATTTTCAATGAATTTCAAAAGTCAGTGCACTTTGATCATCCCATCCTCAACACTCAGAGAGATGCCACCGAGCCTAAACTCATGGAGAGGTAACCTCAGCCCCAGTGTTGCTGTCTCATCTCCAGGTCCTTCCGAGCTTGCAGACCTAGCTTTGTCCTTCAGGAAGGGGAGAACTTAGCTAGGACCCACTGGGGCTGCATGCAGATATGACACCCATCCGTTCCTTTCCCAGGAGCTCAACCTCAAGCACAATTTGGTTGAAATTCCAGCTTTGGAGATGTGCAAAAGAACAAGCATTTTGAAACTGCTCCCAGAACAGGCTGTCAGTTAGGGTCCGACCATCAAAACGCACAGTTAGGAGCCATAACATCGTCCTCACCACAGCACTACACCAGATGCTAGGAACATCCCTCTTAAGAGGCTCATAGAGGCATCAACATCCTAGCTGCTCTGAAACAGCAAACAGCACTGACATCAACAGAATCACTCCCCCTAATGCTGTGCTCGCAAAGGCATGTGCTGGTTAGTCTCTAAAACGCCATGTTGCTGTTACTTGACAGCCTAATTCCCATATATGTCATATCCTTTTGCAAAGTAGATTATAAGCCTTCCAGGCAAGGACCTCATCTCCTCGTGAGCATGTCACGGGTAAGCTCCTAACCTGGCCAGAGCCAGTCACCCTTATATAAATAATTACATCTCCAAATCAGTCCATCATCAATGCAAAGAGCTGTCCTCCGCTGTCTCTAAACCTCTCAGTTGTTCCTAGCCCAGAGGGAACTAAGCGAGCTGGCATGCAGGGCTCGTCATCACCAGACTGATGACACAACCCAGGAAAGCATCAGCTAGAAGCCAGGAAAGTAAATTTAACCCTGTCCCCTGAAATCAGATGCTGCCTACTCACAGAGGTTGCCTTGGCACCACTGGGGAGCCAGGGCCTGTCTTTATGGTGACTTCATCTACATTGCAATGCAAAAGGGAGCATCAGAACAACAGATATTTCTGCCATCCCAGGCTGCCTGTCTCTCTACCAATCTCCAGGAAAGAGGCAACGGAAAACCAAAATCCAGTATGTTTATGGCAGAGATGTATCTAAGCAGGACAGTCATTGCCATAGAGGTTGCTTACTGAGTTTAGTGCTGATTTTTTTTTTCTTTCAAGTTTTAAAGCAAAGCTGAAATAAATAAATAAATAAGCTTTCTTTTTGTATTTCACTCTCTCTCCTCCTCCCAATCCCTCTGATGGTTTTCATCCTTGATACAACATCAGCAGGCAAATTTCGTATAAAACCCAAACCCAGGTTTGCAACCATCCAGGGTAACTGAATACAACCAATTTCTTAAGAAATTAACGTTGAAGCAAAGGAAGCAGTGATTTCACTCCAAAATCCTCATCACATAAACCATGAAAACATCCACTGAAAGCCACAGACAGTCCCCGTGCAGAGTTTTTGGAAGCTGTTCCTTCTTTTTGTGCACGGCTTGACAGACTCACCCCTTGCAAGAATCAGCCTGCTATTCATTTCTTCCTGCTAGATCGAGAGGGCAGCAAATAATGCCTTGAAAATTACCTATTTAACGCATTCTGACTATTTTTATGCTTAGAAATCAATTGCAAATGCTTTAAAACGGATCACTGAAGTCAAGAACGTTGGATCCTCCCTAACAAACATTGTCAAAGCGTGCTATGTAGAGTGGTAGAGCCTTGCTACAGTCGGACATCGCTACACTGTATTTTTCCCCTAATTAGCCAGCTTGACAAGGGCTTCAAAAAAATCACTGCATCATTTGCATGTGTATGGAGGGTAATGAAGAAGTCTGCACAGACAAGCCAAATTCATTGCAAACCGTAACAGCGGTCACAGCACACCTCTGGCATCGTGCACGGAGCTACACTGAGGGATTTAATCTTTGTTTTATTGACAAGCTTTAAGTATATTTCCTGACTCTTTTGGAAACATTAGCATCATTATAAAATTTATTTTATAATTTATTTTGCTGAGCAGGAAATAGTCCTCAAGAAGTCAAACCAAAGAATTTGAAGACATTCATATACAACTAGGTAGCTGCTTGTGGATGATGGGAGAGGCAGCAGATCCTCTGAGCTGCAGGACACCAACATGAGAACAGCCAGCCTTGCAACACACTGCCATGCCACAAGCTGTCACCATCCCAAATCTACTCTCAAATAGGATGTGAGGCAAATTGAGGATGTAACAGGCAGGGAAGAAGGGCAGCCA